TAATAATAATAATAATAATAATAATAATAAAGGTAACAAGTGTAACGTGTTTACAAAAGAATCAACATTTTAGAATATATGAGAGTTAATTCCGCTAAGAGGACTAGGCCATGCGGGTGTGTCCGTCCGAAGTTCTAATTGTAAGTGACGGCAAATTATTGCTGGAAATAGCGAAGCTGCGGCGTGGCCAGGGCTGCCACTGAAACTTCTCTTCATCATCCTGAGAGCCCGTAAAACCCAAAGGCTCGTGTGCTCGAAAGCAGAAATCAAAGCACCCCCCTGAGACATGGGCTGCAATAAATGAGTGGGAAGAAAAAAAATTTAGAAGGGTGGGCGGAAGAAGTGGAAAAATGAGTCTGTGTAAACTTCAGAAATAAAACGAACTGCTCGGACACGGCCATATGGGCGCTCCTACATGATTCCATTTTCGTCTCTGTATTGTCACATGGGAAAGAGAAACAAAGCGGATCACGCCTGCAGAATCAGAATGCTACACAAGCATCGCATCTGCAGAGAACGAGAGCTTCCGGTTGTGCCACCGTACAGTCTTTTCAATGTTTCAGAGAAGTATGGTGCCTCCTTGTTCAGGGTCGAAATGACTTACACGTATATCCCTCTACATATATATAAAATTTCTAAGGGTTGAGACTTATACGTCGTATTTGTCAGTGCGCAATTTCAGGTTACCAAAGCGAATAAGAACAAACGTTAACATGTAAGATTTTAGGTTTTCACGGCGGTTTCTATGAAGAGTAGTCTTCTGGAATGTGGTGCCGTGTAGATATTGTGTTAACCGACGTTTCGGAGGAACGTATCGCCTCCACATTCAGGGTAGAAGAAGAAAAAAATCCGCGCGCGAGGAACCAGCGTGAGCAGGTGCTGACAGACTTCCTCACACTGGTTCCTCTCTTGCGGATTCTTTTACCCTGAAGATGGAGGCGATACGTTCCTCCGAAAGTCGGTTAACACAATATCTACACGGCGCCACATCCCAGAAGACGGCTTTCTTCAAACGTTAACATGATTCATGAACGCAATTAGTGTAAAGCTCCTTATTGTGCACATTTCTCCAGCCTTCCACAATTACACCCCTCATTGGTCCAAACATAAACCTCAGAGCCCTGTTTTCGAATACCATCACTGTATGTTATATCTCTTTGAGAGAAACAAACGTTCACATCCATACAGAGCAAAAGTGTTGCATATTTTAGTCTTCGCGTTTCCAGACCTCACACGAGAAGACAAAAGTTTCTGAACTGAATGGTAGCAAGCATTACCCGAATCTAATCTGCTTTCAGCCTCAGCATGAATCAAATTCTGAATTTTGCTGTCGTTCCCAAATATTGTAGTGCTTTGAACCTCACATTCCGTAATCCGACTATGAAATTCCCACGTCCAGCTGGGTAAGTCCTAGTTGAGAAACACATTTCACGGGGTAAAATCTCATGACACTCAAACCACGGGCCGAACCTGCACCTAAAGCGGGTGTCTGCCGTGCGGTTCACAATATGTATAAATTATGAAGTGGTCGCATTTGCGAAACGAAGATTTTGAGAGCAAAAATGGCCCAAGTAACTAGTACGTTAATATGTAACGAGAAGAGTGCCTGACCGCACACTGAATGTTTCATACTTCCCACTACTATACTCCATCCACTGCAGGAACGAAGCTGCGTCATTGTCATCTAGTGACGCAGTCCGTTATGTCACCATCATAAATTTATTAAATTATGTTTTAAAGACACTTCCTGTAACAATAAACCGCTAAATAAGGTAAGCTATCTTTGTAGAAAGCCGTGGAGCGTCTTAGGGTTGTGAGAAGTTGAGGGTCCCACATTATCGAGACAGTCGGCTCACGATTGTCAGCCTTACGCGTCGGCCGCCCTTTACGCCCCATGAAGATTCCTGATACTCATTTCTGTTAGAGGCTGAGTCAACCCCAGGGTCATAGTGCGGCTGGAAGGATTAGGTCAATTGATAAAAACCACCTCATCGGGATTCGACCCCGCAACCTTCCGGCTTGTAGCACAGCGCCTCAACCAACTACGCTATCCCCACTCTGATCTGCTGTGTATAACTTGCATAAGAACTGTTCACTGCAGTAAAGTGAAGAAGTGTGTACACGTATGCCCTTACCAGGAGCGTGTGTGCGTGCGGGCAGGCACTTGCGAAAGTACGGCGCAACAAATGTGACCCCTGCTCAAAAAGAGGAACCCCGCCTCTCGTCGGAGAGGAGACCCCATTCTCAAACACACAAACGATCTTGGAACGAATATAAATTAGACAATGGGTCCCGACGGGACTCCAAAACCAAGATTGACTGTGCTGGTGAGGACCAGCAGCAATTTATTGGGCTGCACTGGCAGGCCATGGTGGCTTACACCTTGAGAACAAAGAAGAAGAAGAAGAAGATATTTTCATTTCAGCTTCATGTAAAATTGGTTGTCCTTACACAAACTGACGGGTTTTGTTGATAACGATCGGGTTCTCTAAAATTCGAAATATCTTCTAGAGACGGGTACTGTCCTATGGAGTCGGTTTGCTATAACAACTGTACCTTTTTCTAGGT